GACTTTTCAGCAGGATGGGCATCAGATGGCCAGGAACTGGAGCAGCCTTGCAGAGCCTTCCAGTAGCGTTTGGAAGTGCCAAATCAGACTTGGTGCAGCCGCTCTGAAGGAGTAATGGTGCTTCCCGAGGCTCTGTTAAAATCAAGGGAAGGTGCTGTGCTATTACCCAGCCTTGCTAAGGCGCCACCACACAAAGTCACCACCAGAAGGCAAAGGAAAAGGCTCCAGATGCAAAAGCTTTTCTTTCAGAGATAACTTTGGTGCACTTTATTTTTCTGTGTCTCTGGGCTGTGGCAAGAGGTCGGCGACTGCTGTTATGCTCTCCAGGAAATTCATGAGCGTTGCGGTGATGAAGTGATGGGGTGGGGATGGGCCTTAGAGATATTGTTGCTAGATGTTTTTCTTCCTACAGCAGCTAAATTCACTGATGTCTTCATCTCCCCTAAAGCAGAAAAGCACTTAGGCAGCCAAAAATTGGAGGTGATGGACCTATGGGTCTGAGCTGGAGCATTGGAGGAGGAGGAGCAGTCGGCCAAGCCAGGCATTGGCAGACGGCTCCGGGGAGGGAGTAGCACCACTGCAAGCTGAAGCTGGATGTCACAGCTAGTTTAGGATCCAGCTGTAATTTTAACAGCTGGTTCTGTCAAGCTGTGTTCAGCATAGCTCTGATCCAAGCTTCTATAATTAGCCAAAGAGCAGCAGCTCTCGTGCAGAAATTAAAGCAGCAGCGATGCTGGTTGCTGGGGAAGTGAGGTGGCATGGGAGTGAGCCTTACCGAAAGGGGAAAAGGCTGGCCTGTGGAATTTTAAGTAGTTGGGGTTTAGTCTTTTGTTTCTCTACCTAAGCACTTTGTGCAAAATGTTTGGTTATGGTTTTCCCCTCAGAAAAGCATACCTAAGAAACCTCGTTTCATTTTGCATCATCCTTAACAGAAATATTTACATTTCTCAAACCAAAAGTGTTTAGTTTGTGGTCAATCTGAGGTCAGTTTTGTTTGCTGAACTTGTACAGTTTCTCATGGGCTCGTGGTCTGAGACCCTCCAGCTCCTGGATTCCCTTGGCAGCTGAATGCACTGCCTGTGTTTGGGGATGCGCTCTGGATGCTCCCCTGGAGATGCCCAGAGCTGTCGGTGTTCCCTGGGAGCATCAGTCCACCCGGTGAGTAAAGGCTCTAAGATCAGTATGTGTGTGAAACACCCCAGTTATGATGCACATGAGTCACTCCTGTCCTTGAGCTTACCCTGTTTGATGTCGACCAACTTGAAATACTGTATTTTGACTTTGCTCAGGCTGCCTGTCCCTGTAACCTTGGGGTTTTGCAGTCAATAAATGGATCTAGACTAATTGGAAAGAGCTAAAGAGAAGTATCAGGCTGGTTCTCCATGTTTTTAATAACAAGCATTTAGGCAAAGAATAGGGGAACTATTCCTTTCTATTTCTGATAGTGTATGAAGGTAGTTCTCAGTGTCTTGGATCTCCCAGTGTTTCTGTGTTTTTATACTGTGTGCATTCATGCGCCTTGTGTAGTGACACCGGACTGAAAGGCTGGGGCATCTTTCTTGTGCTAATGAGAGAGACTAGGAAGCAACATGACGACAAAGTACATGCGAAGAGTGATTTTGTGGCAATTCGTCCTAGCTTTATTAAATTTCTGTTGAAGAAAGATCCATTTTGCATTGGAGACCTGCGCAGGTCTGGGCAGTTTCTGTCTCTCACCGGATAAAGAATATTTTTCCAGAGCGGGGTCATGTTTTTTTCTGAAGTTTGACAAAGAGCTACTTGGAACTTAGGTCAACCTCAACCAAGAAGCGTGAGTGCTGGCTGATGCTTCTTTCTGACTGACACTACCCTGTCTACATCTGCATTTTCTCCCTATAGTAGCTCACCTGAGTTTTCACCTTGAAATTTCTGATGCAGCAGAGAAATCAGCAGTAGTTGTCCACACCCAACCTCCTCCAGTGAAATCAGACTGGGAGGTGCCTGCCCCTAAGTAGGGCTGGTTTTTAAAAATATTGCTGTGGTTGAGGTGCAGGCACAGCAGCTACCTTGATGAGCCAGGGAAGGGGTTATGTGGAACATCAGTAACCAACAGTTACAGAATTTAGCCTTGAAATATATAATTACAGGAATTCTTTAAGTGAGATTGTGCTGCTCCAAGGAATGGAGGGTTGATGGTTTTAGGAAAACCAAGGTGTGCAGATGTCTTTGTGCAACCTGGAGGTTGTGGTTGTGCTGCTGAGTGCCTCTCCCTCGATACCACAGCTGCTGGAGCATCCTATACGAGCTCATTTCTGGGACAGCTATAAAACCAGCTGCCAGGAAAGGAACGAGTCCTAAATTAAAATACTCTCCATTCCCTTCCAGCTTTGACTGTAAATGTGTCGAACACTCAATAATAGATGATCAGGAGCCGTTAGCGCTGCAGCAGATGTGCTCGAAGCCATTTGGATTTCTCTTCAAAGCAAACAAAGAGGAATGTTATGTGCATGCGAGGATGAGTTTCCGTGATTTATGGTTGCACGGCAATGTTCCTACGTGGGGGGAATGCTTTATTCTGGGATGCCCTGGAAAAAGGGTCCTAAACCCACCTGAAGTTGGCGGTGAACTTCTTTGCTGACTTCTATAAAGTTCTATTGGGGGATTAAATTAATCTGATCCTTGCTTGGATTGATCTATGTGAGCAGTTGCCCAGGCTGAGATTTTTATTTACTGGTCTGGGTAAGGAACCCATCTAAAATTATTCAGGGCTTGGAGTATATTCTAGCCTGATCCCATAGCTGTGGTTTGAGGCTCTGCAGCCTGTCTGTATGAAGTCCAGACCTTCGGGTGGTTCCTGGTACTTGGCAGTCGTTTCAAGCTGAAGCCTCAGCAGCACGCAGGTTGGCGTCGCCCATCTGCGGTGCGTGTTGAGGGTGTCAAGGCTCCTCCTTCCCAAGTCTGGCAGTGTCTCAGCCTCTTTGCTTTCTGTATAAAAGCCATTGGGGTTGCATGCGAGGCTGTAGGTGGATTCTCCCTTGCTTTGTGGAGGTCCAGGCAGGACCAGCTCTGTGTGTGGGCAGGGGTGGTGGGTGTGGGGCGGTGGCAGCAGTTCCTCTGGGTGTGGAGTGATAAAGCTGCAGTACATCTTCCCATGTGGCTTTTGTGCAGGTAACTAGCAGTGGCTGCAGCGAGGACTTTTTGGGGTATTTGTGTCTTGCCCAAGGAGGAACCTGACATCTGGTTTGGGGTTAGTTTTGCTCTCAAACTTCAGCTTCTGGCAATGCACTGCTCTACGGATGTTACTATGGCTGCGTGCCTGTCCTTAAGTGTTTTCTTGCCCAGCTTTCCAGCTAAATCAAGCTTCGAGTGCGTTCAGTGCCAGTAAATGGAATGAGCATCACACTGGAAACCTCTCAGCTTTCATCTGCCTTTTTATAATGAAAGACTGACTTCAAGAGACAAAAACCTGAAGGTTATTTACCTGTAACTGGGTTTTTTGCTCTGAGCAGCCAGCAGCTCCCAGGTGGGCGTGTGGGGATGCCAGTCGAAGAGGAAGCATTTGATTTCCAAGTAAAATTAGATTCCACATTCAATTCTCAGTAATGCAAGCACAAGACTTCCAGTAAGGACATTTTCTGTTGCAGAGGGTTTTAATGTCTCCCAGCAGATACAATCGAATTGCTCTGCAGCAGCCAGCTCTTGTCTTATCTTTAATATGTAAACACTTGCTCAATAATTAAGTTACTGTGGAAGTTGTACTGTATTGATGGTCAATTATAAGATAAACTGATAAGAGGGAGGATGTGGCTCTGTTCTTTATGATGGATAACAAATTTGATACACCTGCAGTGGTCAAGTGAAAATTTGGGAATTGTATATTTTGGTGTTTTCTCATGATATTTGTTGCCACATGATGTTTTCAGGGGAGGTGAGTGCTCCCTGAGAAATCACAAATCACTCTACTAAAAGGAGTTTTTTCACCAGTGAGTGTCCTTTCCACCACTTTTCCTTGCAGTCGCCTGCCCAGAGGCTTTCACCTCTTGCTGTCTTGATTGCCCACCTTTCATCCTGCTGGCAGCTTCCCTGTGCTCTTTGGAGACACCTCTGGTCGCTCATTTCTCCTGTGCTCAGTCGGTGCAAGGGGCAACTTGATCCCATGCGAGATACCTTCTGGGAGTATGAATGACTGTATTAACGTCTTTGTCACCTGAGAGCTACTCCATCGGGAATCACAACACGTGATTAAAGAAATCAGTTAAAAACAGCTTAGGAGGCTGGATTAGGTACATGATCTCTTATTATGGTTCCTTTTAGCTGACAACCTGGTGAAAGAAGGGGGGTCTGGATTACATGGGGAAACATCAGACTTGACGGGAGTGTTTTCTGACTGTTAGGCTTAACGGTGTCATGTACGATTTTAATCAGATTTAAATAGTGGCAAACATCACAGGCTTAATGGATTTCAGCTTTATTATTGGGGCTTTGCTTAGAAGCAATTTGGATTTTCAGCTGTGAGCCAGCAATGCAAGTGTATTCACGATGACATTAAAAAGGACTGGAAACCCAGGAACCAACCTTGCATTTAAATACCACATGCCTATGTATGGGGACAGAACTCATCTTCTTTCCATCAGCCTCAGAATCTTGATGTGTTAATGAGCTCAGCCCAATGTTTTTTCCATAGAGACAATGTATTTGGCTCTGTTTCACCTATTGATCCCAGCAGCTGGGTAGCTGAACAAACAACTTTCTCCATTTCAAAGGCTTTGTTGCTCAAGATGAAGCAAGATGACAACATATTTTTGCAGTGATCTGGAGAGGTTTTTTTCCAAGCTTGGCTTCAACCTTGAAGTTGACCTACACATGATTTAAAATAGTCTCTGTCCTTTGTTTTAGGTGACATGTATTGGTCTCCTTGACCTTTCCATAGTGACACTTTGTCTTGACTGTGCCAGTTTGGGGTGATTTGTCTAGAGGAAAAACAGTCACTGAGGGCACTTACACATATATTTCTTCAGAACCATGGTACTACTTCCAAATCCAGTCTATTGGGGGTGGTTATTTTCTGTTGTGGGAGAAGGTGCCTTGCAAGACATCAGTACTGAAGATGGTTTTGTAAAACACGTTTGACTTTGCTTGGAGGATTGGTAATGGGAGACAGCCTTGTACTCCCAGCACTCCAGGATTGACTGACTAGAGCTGTCAGAGACAAAAGTTGTCATTTCATGACAGTTGGTTGCTGAAGTCTGTCCAACTGGTCAGTGCTCCAGAAGAGGGGCAAAAGGGGAACATCAATGCTTTTCAAGTTCCCCTTAGGAGTAGCATGTGGTGTTGTTCCCTTTATCGGTAAAGGAAATGCATGTGTTCCTACTCCCTTGTGTTTTCTGTGCCACCTAAAACCACCAACTTCAGGTTTCAGCTACTTCCAGCTCTGAGTTGAGCATTAATGGTGATGTTTTCTCTTAGAAGACCAAGGAGATGTCTGTAAGGTGTTATCTAAATAATCTACTAAATCTTGGCTTTCTGTCTGATGTAGCCATTCAAGAGCTAATTGCCTTTGACTAAGTCAGTCATTGGCAGAGTGAGTGGGTTAATTGGGTATTGTGGAAGCAATCAATCTAATCAGCTGCTTGCATCAGTAGCTGAGGTGCTACAAGGCAGCGGGACAATAATTGTTTTATGAGCTCCTGGAAGGCAGCAGAGGCTGACTGGATGGCAACAGAAAACCCTTCTCTGCAAAATGGCCCTTAGGAAAGGTAATTTAGATGCCAAGTGCTGATTAAGAGATGACTGATTGATTAAGAGCTGGGAAATTCTTGTTTCTAAAAATATGTGTGCATGAGAAAATGGTTGGTGTCAGGGTGCAGGCACATGGGGGGGTTTGGGCTCCTTTTCCAGACTGGGTGAGGTGTGATGAGGATGTGTTACCTTAGAGAGGGATAAGGAGTTGTCTTAAGGGGGATGAAGGGAGATCACTCCGTCCTCACACCTGTGGAGAGTGTGATGTGAGACATGCCAGGCACCCACCCTTACATTAGGTGTCCCAGGTGACCTTCTAGGGGCAGAGACTGATTTGTGAGATCAATAAACACATTCTCTTTTGCTCCTTGCCGAGGCTTTCATTTCCACAGTTTAGCACGCTGAGCTGTCCTTGAGCAGCAGCGGCTCTTGGTGGCTTCTCACCTGGTCCGGGCAGGAAAACATCTGAAGAGAGGTGCCCATCTCGTCAGCCTGCCCCAGGGTCCCCTCTGGCTCCTGCTCCTACATGTGTGGATGCTGACATTTCCAATGTGCTGTGTCTGCACTGCTGAACATGTAGCCAGCAGGAAGCATATTTATCCAGAGATGACTGCAGAATTATTTTCAGGAAAGTTTATAAGCTCCTCAGCACAGCTGCAGATGGGGAAAAAAGGCAAAAACAAACTACCAAGCTGCTGGTGCTGTGTGGTGGAGCAGAGGAGTGGTTGCAGCCTTGACTACAAGCTCTGAGTTGTCTGATCAACCTGACAGTGTTTACCTTACGTATGGGGACGGTGGGTTTGCCTCTGGACAGGCAGTGGTGTTTACACTCCATAAGATTTGGGATGCAAATGCTTAAAAAAATTCAACGTGGAGTCATTGAAATGTCTTGTTTCGGGGGTGTCCAAATGCTACAGGAGGAATTCTTAGAGCTTACAGTGATCAAACTAAACACTTTACACTGACACAGCCAAACAGTTCTTTTTGAAAATGCTATTCAAAGTCCAGTCCATAGGGAAACCTTAGAATTACTGCTTTCTCCATCCAGCCCTCTGACTATGGACAGGGTGGTTCGTTTCAGAAGAAGCATCCCTCAGACTCTGTTTTAAAAGGAGGTTGTGATGCTGGTGCCAGCAGTGATGTGGGGTGTCAGGGATTTGCCCCTCAACTGCTCCAGATAATTATGCAATTCTTTAACCTTGCAGGAAAAGCAGGCACATCATCTCCATTAAGTATCTATTCACCACTCTGTTTTAATTAACATCTTATAATGTTAATAGAGCAGACTACGCAGCTTCTGACATACAGAGAAGTGGCAATATATACCCTGCAATTTTAGCAGCAAAGTGATGTAGTTGTATTTAAATCTTCTCTAGAGCGCTGAATTGGGGTCAAGGCACTTTTAACTGCTTAGAGGAAAGAAAATCTACCTCTATAGGAGAATTTCTTCCTGAGTTCTGGGAAGATGGGATTCCTCTTGGATTACACAGAGAAGTAAATTTTTTCTTCTATTTCAGCCTCCCATGCTTTGTCTTGTAGTGAGACAAGGAGGCAAGAAACAACACAGCGATGCATTTGGGCTGAGGTCTGGTGTTGGCTCTGTTGTTATGCTTGGTTTGGGATACACTAACATGTTTCTCCTAAAAGCCTTGGACCAGACCTGGTTTTACTACAGTCCTAGAAACATCGTGGAAATGAGCAGTTCACCTCTTCCCAGGTGAAACTGCAAATAAAGCACCAAAGAAACTGAAGAGCAGATGTGGCTTTATTCCATCTTTGTATAATGCTTTACTTCAGATGACAGAAAGCAAAGTCCATGCATGTATTTTCTTTTTTATCTTCAAGCTGGATCTGATTGTCCTCCTTGCAGGAGGATTTTTCTTCTCTGGGAACAAAGACTGAAACTGAAAGAGTAATTTTGGGTACTTCCTATAATCCACATTCTCAGAAACCAAAACCTCACCATTAACTAAGCACCGTAACAGCTTTCTGAAGTAGGGAAGTAGCAATGTCCCTCTTCTTAAAAAATGGGGAACTTGAACAAATTGCTGCTGTAAGTCAGATGGAAAGATGGTGTCTACGTCAGATTGTCTTGATAGAAAATCATCTCCTTTGCTTCTTCTACAGCCTCTTGGCTAGTGAGAAAGCTGGGCTGTACTCAAGCAGCCAGCGGGACTTGCCAGTTTTGGATGCCTGGCTTGGTGGAGCTCCAGCCACCGGCTCAGTAGAGCTGACACAAGGCCATGCAGTGTCTTCTTCTCAAGCAACCGTCATGGTGACCCTGTTTTCTTTGCCCTGCAGAGTTTTATGGGAGGTGATGAAGTGAGTGTGAAAATATCAGTTCCTCATTTTACCTTGGAAACTACGTAACGGGTCAGAAATGCCCATTTGGGCTGTGTGATTTCAGGTTATGTTACGTGCCTTTGTTGGCTAACTTTGTCACAACTGCTTGGTGGGTTTTTTGCAAGCATCACGTGGTTGTGCCAGAATAGCTGGCAGAAGCAAGCGGTTGGTTTTTCTTCTTGGTGGGTGGCTGAAGTGATGCCGAAAACTTGATGACCAGGCAGCAGCAGTGTTAGCAACGTGAGAGTGGTATTTCTAAAGGGTGCCTGCAGGTGGTGTCCAGCAGGTCTTCCCCAGGTAGTCCTCTCCACAGTCACAGTTGGGTGCTGGAGATCGAGTGGGATGATGACGTCCCTCGTTCTGCTCCTCGGGAGAGGAAGCGAGCGTGTTGGCAACACGATGCTGCATGGTCCCACACCAGCCATCAGCCCGTGTTGCAGGGCTAGCGGTCATTTAGCTTCAACGTAAGCAGAACAGCGCTCATGAAGATCTGAATTTGGCCAGACACCTCCAGATACGAAGCTGTTGCTGAGGCCGTGTAACCCCACGGAGATGAGGAAGAGATGGTTTAGTTCTCCAACTCGGATGCCCTCCGGTCTGAGAGCTGTTTCCTGTTCAGCCTCCTGGAGTTTTTTTCTCGACACCTTCTCTAGCTGTTTTCACAATCCTTTAGCTCAGGCCGTTGAGGACACGTCTTGCTGACATACTGTTTGCCTGGGGAACCTGGATAGGTTCATGTTGGGTTCAAGTCCGGTTCGTGGTATTTTGCACTGATGGGTGTTGACAGGGGTGCAGGCAGCAGGTTTGGGCAGAGCAGAGGAACAACTACTGAGGACGCATCCCTGGAGGAAGGAAGGAAGAAAGAAAGAAAAGGAAAAAAAAAAAAAAGAAGCAAACAAAGGTTTTATGTAAATCTGTACTGAAGTACAGTGAATTTAGCAGCTGGCTTTGTCGGAGCAGCCAGAAGCTCTTTTGCAGAGGTGATGGATCTGGGAAGAGGCAGCATGTGAACTATGGGAAGGGATAACAGCAGAGAGCAGTCGATAAGTGCAAGCCGTCAGAGCCGCGGCAGCATCTCAGCCTCGCATTACACAAATCTCACATTTTATAAATGTATCAGCCAGGCATCACCTACTGTCTCTCTGTGTCCTGTCTGAGAGACATTTTTCCTATTCAGCTCCATCACATACAGCCGCTGTAGGGTGCGTAGCGTTTTTGCATTCTTCTTTCTGACACTGCAAGTGCCCTCCGAGGGCTTAGGTGTGTCTTTTCACTAAAAAAAGTACGTAGCAAGCCCACAGTTGGGATAGGGTTGAACTGATGGAACTGAGGGACTGAACTAGCTGGTTCTGCTCATGGCTTCAGGGAAGTCTCTCTTAAGCTGGATGGGTAGATGAGAGAAAAAGCTTCAGACTTTTTATCACTTAGAGTCAGTGTTGATGAGCTGATTGAGGGATTTTTCTGCATCTTTTCATCTATCTTTTAAGTGAGTCCTGTATCAGGATGGGCAAGTGAAAAGTGGGTTGAATGAGGAATTTCTGCACATCCACTGGTTTGTAGCAGGCAGGTGAAGGAGAGGCTTTAATATGCCACTTGGCATATATAAAAAAAAAGTTAAGCTGCTTACTTCGAAGTTCGTACAAAACATACCGTTTTTTATTATATCTATAACAAAAATGCATCTATATCCATCTGTATTTATATAGAGATATAGATAATTATATCTATAGATATGATTTTAATTATATCTAAAATCATAGCTCACGAAAGCCAATAATAAAAGTCAAAAGGGGTCAAACTAAGAGAGCAAGGGAACACTTTTTCGGTGGAACTTTTGTATAATTATACATCTTAAATAATCAAAGTGTTATGTTGATATTCACAAAACTGGTATTGGACAGTTTTTGCAGTTTCGTTGTTCTGAAGCATTTAAAATAAGGGCATCGATTAAACTTGTGAGATAAGTTGGGCATTGTGGCTTCTGCAGGAGATGCTGGCTGTGATCAGCTGTAATTGCCCTTCTGATTTGAGAAGTCATGGTTTTTAGATTCTTCCTTCTTCCTTTCTGGTTCTTTTGAGAGCCTGAGCAGCAAATCCACCCTTGGGGCTGCTCTCCAGGGAGGGAGAAGAGGGCCGGGCTGGCCAGCCGGGGTGCCCGTGGGCAGGAGGGACCCACTCTGAGGCGAGAGGATGCTGAGCCTGACTCAGCGGCTTTCTGAGCTGAAGTGCCTTCAAGTCAGTGGGAAGAACTGCAAGTGTTTTCCCCTTTTCCTATGTGAAAAATGTATTTGAAGCTTACTCCTATACAGCCATCTGCCCTGAACCACTTCCCCTGCAGGTGCACACCCCGTTTTTCACTTTTTAGCAGCATCAGCACTGGAGGATGGATCTTGCCTGTCTTTCCCTTGCTCCAAAAGTGCTACTTATTGAGCAAGCAGCATCCCTGGCTCCAGCAGCTGTGGCAGGGACACAGCCTTGCTCCTCAAGTCTTGATTTGTATGGGATGCATGGCAGAAATCTCCTTTTGCCTGCACAATCACCATGTCAGAGCAGAGATATCTGAAGCACAACCTGTTGGAAAAGGGCAAGTCTGAAGGAGAAGACGTGTTTCACTCATGTCTTGAGCAATCCAGCCACACACTTGGTCTGCTTGGTTTTGCAGTCGAAGCTTTTCTCCTTTTCTTCACCCTATCTCTTCTTCTTAAATACAGCGTTTTATCCTTGCTTCTCAGCCATTGCTTTCTGCTGCAGGGTACCGAGAAGGATTTCTGTGGAAGAGAGGACGCGACAACGGGCAATTCTTAAGCCGCAAATTCGTGCTATCGGAGAGAGAAGGTGCACTGAAATACTTCAACAAAAATGATGTGAGTACCTGGGGTTGCTGTAGGCAGATAGGGGATTGCAACTGTAAGAGTATCGTTGAACAAGTGATTTGCAGGCCACCATTTTATTTATAGTTTTACAGTTTTTATAAGCATTGAGTCCCTGACTGCTCCAGGACAAGGCTGCCAGGTACAGCTAACTGCAGTTTTTAGTAAGTTTTGCTCTTGGTCCACCACCACAACAAAACACCCTAACTGGTTTTTTTCCTGCTCTGTTAAATCAATAAGGCTTGTCTTAAACTGCCAACGGAGGAGTTTTTATCAACTGTGGCTCTGCATCATTCAGCTGACATGGGCTTCATATTTATGGTTGGCTTCTGATGAAGGTATCACCACCTCACAGCGGTCACTGGGGTCTGAAACCTCTCCATGGCATGGCAAGCAGTCCAGAGGAAAAGCCCCCAGGTTTTCTGTTCCAGTGTCAAGTGGTGGAAGCATTTATCTTTTTCCCTGGAGCACATTTCATTTATTCTAAGTGAGAAATGGAGCTATTACCATGAAAATTGCTTTTGTGATGAATGGATAGACTCTCTGCTGTTCTGTGCCACGTAACGGAGCGAGCCAAGGTGTTTTCTTTGACTGTTGAGTCTCTCCTGGACGTTGTAGCTGAGAGCAGCCCAGGCCGAACCACCGGCCCATCTTCTGAAGGAGATGATGCAATCGTGATGTCACGATGAGCCACGCTGTGTGGAGGAGGGGAGCCTCCATCCATGCTTCTTTACATCTGGTGGGTGGTTTCAATAGCACCGTCTGCTCCTTCAGCTTAGCGTGGTGTGATGCAATTGCATCTTGTGGACAGGAGAGAGCCAGTCATGACCAAGGGAGAAGTGAAAGTCCCAGCAGCCACCATTCAGTTGCCGTTGACTGCTCCTGTAGTTTAAAGCTGCTTTGCTCGTTGGCTGTAGCCATGGTGGGAACAGCACTATCCAGATGTGTCCTCTTTGCTGGGGTTTCCCTGCCATGGTCACTGTGATGTCAGTGTGTCCATGGCAAGTCCCCAATTTCCCAGCGCAGTTCTAGCATCTCCACCAGCTCAGGGACTTCCTCATGGTGCTGGGCACCCAGACACCACTGCACGACCTTCTCCTGACCCATGGCTGTGCCCTAAATCTGGTGTTACCAGAAGTCTAATCTTTATTTTTTGGGCTGTTTTATTCATGCTTGCTAGTTCACTTCTTAGTGCAGTCCTAAAAAGGTGGTAAACATCTAGAGATGTTTTGTAGGAAGATGAACCGTACTACGAAGTTCAAGTGACGAGCCACAGAGAGTGCAGGTGGGATTAGTGCCTGGGAGAGTCCAAGCCAGGCTCACCGTTGGGCCAAGCCACCCCAGAGGTGGGCTGTAAGGTATATATTTGTCCCTCTGAGAAGAAAGTTCCCAGTTTGGAAGGCTCATGGTGGGGATGGGATTGGTGGGGCCGTGGTCATGGTGCCCTGTGCTAACCTAGCACCCGGTCTGAAGTTTGCAAGGGGGATAATCCTCCATCGTGCTGGGCACGGATGAATGGGCTGTGGGTGCTTGAGATGCAGAAAAAGCCCCCTGGCCTGTTAGTTAGCAGTCTGTGTATTTTCTTTCTTCTTCAATAGTGCTCATCCTGGTGTAAATGCTGGTCATCTATCATGGGGTAAAGAGGCTGGAGGAGCTCTAGGGGTCAGGAGACAGTTGAACAGAGACTGAGACACGAGGCACTGCGAAGATGCTTGTCTTTATAGCACAACCTCCTATCGTAAGACTTGGCCTGTTCACCTTGTTTCTGGGCTGAAACCTTTCTCCCCTTGAACTCTGCTGAATACTGCAGGAAAACGAGATTTTTTTTCCAGCCTGGCAGAAAGCACTCATTGATGCCTGAGCAAAGTCACTGATATCTTGTCATCGGGCAATTTTGTGGGCTGGGAGTCAGGTTTTTTTAGCTAATGGCCTCAATCAGGGGTTTCTTCCTGACCAAGTGAACTGCTTTCTGTTTTGAAAGCCAAATTTCAGGTGTTTGCTCACTCAGCTGTGTTTTCCAGGCAAAAGAACCCAAAGCAATTATGAAGATTGAACATCTAAACGCGACTTTCCAGCCTGCAAAAATTGGGAACCCGCACGGACTGCAGATCACTTACTTGAAGGACAATAGCACAAGGAACATCTTTGTCTATCACGAAGATGGCAAGGTGAGAGTGCAGAGGTAGCAAGGGTTGGGTTGTGGTCCTGGGGGTTGGTGCTGCTCACAGCCAGCCTGTGTCACTCTAACTGAGCTGGGAATTGTTGCAGGGATGGGGCTACAGAGTGCACAACCAGCTTTGAGTATGTTTGTTGTGTCCTTCTAAAATAATAAAGTGAATTGCTGTTCCTCTACTTGCAACTGGATGTAGGGGTGGAGGCATTTTTTTAAGGCAGGCTCCTTGGTGCCTGGAGAAGGAGACAGGGTGAATGGAGCAATGAAAGGTGAGGGGACTTGATCTAAGGACATGCAGAAGGTGAGCGAACTGGATTGTAGCAAGATTGAACTGGTGGTTTCTCTGCGGACTGGTGTCCGTGCAGAGACCAGACCTGGGCGAATTTGCAGTGGATGCCAACTCAACAGACTTATTTTCAACTCTTTCTTCCCTCCCCCAAATATTTGGGGCTCCCCGTATAACATTGGCAGCCCTGGAGCAGCCGCAAAATCAGAGCCTGAAGCTGTCATGTTCACATCTCATCTGGCCTTGACGGCGCCTTCAGCCTTTGACATTCCATCCCCTTCAGCAGCCGCCTGTCAGAGGCTTTTCTGGGGGTGATCCCTCATGGAGCGGCACGGCAGGGATTTGTGGGATCGTCTCGGCGCACAGCCCGTCCCCAGCTGTTCACTCGGGCATGGCGAGATAGGCAGCCCTGCTAGGGATGAGCAGTCTGTGCTCACAACACTCACTCCTTTCCAGACCTTATAGACCAATAATGCCACAAAGCCCCAAGATATTCTTGTGGGTGAGCAGAGCTGATCTTGCCTCTGCTGCTGCTCAGGCTCTGGGTACAGTGGAGCCTGTCATGCTCACAGGGCTGTGCTGGATGTGGTTCCTCTGTAATGCAGGCGCTCCTGGCAGAAGGCAATTAGCGTGTCCGGTTAATTAGTGGCGTTGCTGGGTTTCATACATGCACAGAAATGTGCATCTAATATGCATGCATGTAAGTGTATAATAGACGTGTAATAGATGAATATGTGCCTGTGTCTGTGCTGCTCTGTATAGATGTATAAAAGAAGTCTCTCTCCCCCTACATATTTGTTTGTCTATAAAAAGAAAATGGTGATGACCACTTAAACCAGGCAAGTCTTGCGTCTCGGTAGGAAGCAGCACAGCATGGTCGTGCCCTCGTGCCTTCTGCTTCCTGCACACCCAAGGGTTTATTTTTTTCAGCCCCGTGCCCCAGTTCCCCCTCCCCAGCCCCTAACACCCTGCAGCACTGTGGGGGTCTCACTCCCTGTGTCTGTGAGTCCTGGAGAGCTGCTCCTGAATTTACCCTCCCCTCTCCACCGTGGGATATGCAAGCCCCATGGCATGGAGCAGGCACCGCAGGTCACAGAATCACAGAATATTAGGGGTTGGA